AAAAAGACTCGTTTGTCGTGCGGCCCGTTACTCGTAGAGAACTTGGGGGTGTGGTCACGAAACTGTCCGTAAAGACCCCGCCAAATAAGTTGAGTGCACCGCACCGACGCGCGTGGACGACCAGGAAATGACCTCATGTCCGCCCCGCCGCTCATTTACCCTCGTCATAAGACAGGAGACTCCTACTTTCGACCGCTGATGAGGAGGTAGGTGCACTCGGTTCCTTAGTAAGGTTTCTCGGAAGGCAATTGTGGGCCCCCCGAGGGGTCCTCTGAGTCGCCAGAAAAAACCCTTTTTTCACCGGTACACCCGCACTAGGGGTTGGTTGGGCCAAATAACCGTCGGGCGGGACAGTACACCCGTCACCGTCTCCAAGAGTACCCGGGGTTTGGAAAGCCACGACGACGTCCACTCGGTGGTCGAGGCGGCCGGTACACGCGAGTGGATCCCCCCTTCTGTCTGGACCCGGCCACCTCGAAGGTACTGCCCGGTCTTGGGCCTTTCACGGGGGCTGTTGCTCTTCAGCCCGACACCTTGACAGCTTGGCACATTCCCCCAGCTTGGCACTTACCCGTGGGCGGACGCCGGTATGGTGACCAGCCGCGGGTTTTTCGTGAGCTTAGTCTCTACCACCCCTGCGCCGCGGCCGATATTCGTTCCCGTCGCTTCCTGTCCGGCCACAGAGATTCTTCACCGCTGAGGTACTCCATACTAATTGAGGAGAAGAAAGGGAAGAAAGTTTGTAAAATGAAAGAGACGAAAGTTCAACAACGAGCGTGCGACTTCTCTTTTCCTACTTGTCAGGTCACTCCGCACCGGCCGGTAATATATACCACCCGAACGTGTGCCCGTAAAGTCCATGCGCAGCGCGACGGACTCCCCGGGGGCGCGATTTCAATATCTATTAAGTCATCCACTTACGAGCGTTATCATACCAATTCTCCATCATGGGGTATCTCACGCGTCATCTCCCGCCTGACACAAAAACTTACCTGTCTCACTTTCAAGACAACGATTTCTAGGTCCTTTTTTTGCTTAAAGACCTTATTTAATTACTTCTCAACCCAAAAACGTGGTTCTATCAACCCGACGATATCCTCCGTCCGTGTCGAGTTTGTTGTCAACGAGGCCAATAAATAAACACGCGCATCCATCTAAGACAAACCGTCTCTTTTTCTGGGTTTCCAAGGTGGGACTGTGTTTTTTGTCTGTGTTTGTGTAGAGATTTATTTTCCTGATCATTTTCATGTTCATATGGCTTGGTGTTAGAAGTTTTATAAAATTTTTGGTAAAAAATTCTTCCTTTTGTGCATTCATGTTTCGTACATCGTAAGTTTTAAGTGGTTATTTATTTAATTTTTATCCCGTAGACACACTGCCGCGGAGGATACTACCCTCACGTAGTGAGATTTATACCTCCGACCTATTCGGGCGAAATCGACCCGGACTCCATGTCCCAGAGGTCAAAATCGACACCGAGGTGGTTAGTCGGACCGACCTGGTGAAATACTAGGTCTGAGTTTGGTACTTTGTAATCACTTTTTACTGTCTTAACTAGCTATTTTTTAGTGCTATGTTATGTACTAGTAGTACCAAAGCAGTTTACATTTTTATCCTGTCACAGGATTTTCTCCGTCATCGTTTGCGAACACGGGGAAAACGTTCGTGTCGAAGTTGTCAAACCTAGTCTCGAGGGTTAAAACTCAGTTATTTAACAGGCGCTCTATAAACATACTAACGTGTTTTAAGATGAAAGACTAAGCCTAACAAATTCGTGGAGAGTACATACAACCCCTACAGAAGATTTTTTTTAGTTACTAGTACATTTGAAACCAAAACGAATACAAGGTCAACATTCTATCCTGAGGAGTGTCGGTGCGACTGTTTAAGCAGTTACTGTCTCGGGCACCGAACCAGGAGTAACGGGGACCTCGATTGTTATGTCTAATTACGACCTATGAAATTTTATCAGGAAAAAGGCGGTGGGAAACTGTCACCGTAGGACGGGGTGAGGAGAACACACCGACATTCGGGTTTGACCGGTACCCTAGCTCACGTACGAGTCAGAAGGAATTACTAAAACGTTTCTTGCCTGGTATAATAGCTCCGATTAATGCGTTTCACCGTTGACTGTGAAACACAGCGCACGGCCCCGTGGGAGTGGCCTCAGTGTGTTCAGGGACCTCTGCAGAAGAACGGTGGGTTATGTATTGTAACCCTAGTTCTAGAGTGATGTGTGTGTGAAAAATGCATTCAATAAAAACGATTGCATTCATCCCAGAGTAAAGTCATCTCTCTCAGCAATTCCCCATAATGTCTCGTTGAAATGAGCAAGATCCGTTACATACGATGTTAATTGGGCACCCATTATGAGACACAATTCCCCACTCGCCGCCCCAGTTGTAACTCCAGTAAAGGAGGCAGCCAGTGGGCGCGTGCATGTGAGTGTGATTAACCGCAAGAAGTGCTGTCAAAGCGCTATGCGGGTGCAGGGAGATTATGGCCGGCGTGTTGCAGAAAACACACCTCGCCTAGTGTAATAGCTCCGATTGATGCATTTCACCGTCTGTGTGAATACGGCGTTATGGCAGGGCGTGCGGCCCCCCGAGGGCGTGCCGTGGTGCGTTCAAGGACCTCTGTAGAAAATCGGCCCTTTCTGTGTCAGACCTCCATGAGCTAATCTTCCTTTTATGGAAGGTTTGGCGGCGGAGTGGGCCGCCAGAGAGTGCTACAGCTCCTTAGCTGCAACCCCACAGCTGTTTGCAGGTCCCCAAACACAGTCTTATGGGGAATGGAAGCTTAGCTGTGTACTGAATGGATGGACAGGACAGTGAAACTGGGGTACTCACTCCAGCTTTGCAGCGTTCCTCCTCCATTCAGCCTGTTTTTCAGGTCTCAGGCTCGAAAACGAGTTCCATTCTAAAAGGGGTAAATTAATAATATTTGTTCTCAAAGCAATGATAAACCTTTGAGTTGAATGTAGAAAAGTCAGATCAATATAGATTTTTATTTTTATTTTAAAGTAAATTCAGATTGAACATAGTAAACATTTTTTAATAGTAGTGTCTGTCCAAAAATAAACCATTACTTATAGTGAAAACCACCCTTGAATGATGGTAAGGTGGACTAAAAGCTTTAGGAATCCAAACTATAACATATAATAAGTACCCTGTATCAAGATTGATGCAAAACAAGTGACATTTGACCTTTATAGAGAGGTTTAGCAAAAAAACTCCACCTCTGAGGTGATTTGGGTGTATTTTCCATATCTCTGGAAACCATAGGTCGATTTTGATGATTGACACCTCTTTTGAACCGTTAGAGCCAATAGAATCGAGACAGAGTTCCTAAATCCATCCAAACATTACCATTGGTGAAGAGAGTGATGCGCAGCCAGCATGCCCAAAACCGGAAGCTCTCATACACTCTCTCATAGCAGCTATATATGAAAATAATGTTATGATGGATTAACAGTAATCATTTCAAAGTGACAGAGACATTGGATTAACCTTCAGCAGCGTTTATATGCGTTGTAATGCCATTGAACACCACTTTTGATCAGAAAACAGCAAAGGTAAGACGTATTTGCAGTTTTGGCCCCGTAAAAATAAATAGTGTGTAGTCTGGTTTTGCCTTTGCTGCCCTGAGTTTTGGAATCTGTGGAATCTCAGCTTTCGATTGATATCTTGTTTGTGCAGATCCGATGAAGTATAAAATATTTCTGTCGTCGGTGAAACACCCCTCCTTACTGCATAACGTCTCTCATTATATGTGTTATAATGTTTTTTATCGCACGTTGTATGATTATATAATCATATGAGCCGTCCACTAGAGTCTGTTGATATGCTCTCAGCTCTCCAGATTAACAGCAGCATGAAAATAACCTGCCGATGCTCCATGTCGGAGGCTCCGGTAGAGTGCCGGGATTTGCGTGTTTACCCCCTTAATGTCTGACCAATTGTTGAACAGCATTTCCGTACACATGACTTGTGTTTAAAGTTCATAGTCCGTTTGAGTTTTGCCCGTGTGAACGCAAACCGAACCTTCTGAAAAATGAAACAATGTAACAAACTGTGGCCTGGCCGGCACCAGAGAAGTGGACTATTAGGTGTGAATGCGACCTAAAATTAAACAAAGTAACAGGTTTTCTTTGTATTGACATCCATACATAAATAGTAAAGCAAAATCTCCTAACAAGTATCTGTTTGTACTGCTCAGTCGCCGAGGCTCAGGACTCATGGAGGACGATGAGGAGCCAATAGTGGAGGATGTGATGATGTCATCAGAGGACCGCTTGGAGGACATTAATGAGGGCATGGACTTTGACACAATGGACATTGATTTGGTAATTCAAAGCTGCAAGAATCTGTTGGATAATTTAAAAAATGTTGCTTATTAACACATCCAGCACTTACAGAACAACATTATACATTATTTTAACTGTTTGTGTTACAGTGATTTTAAGTCTAGTATTCACTCATGTTATGGTCTGAGGGAAATATCTGCCTCCTTATTTGATAAATGCTCCACTTTGTTAACAAGTCACTATCACTAACTGTCTGTCTGCTGTTTGGTGCTGAGCAGTTTTGAACAGTGGGGTTTTAAAACGTTTTCTCTTAAAACAGCTGCTTGCCTTGACAGTTGTTATGACTCAGTCATGCTTTACTAGTTGCAACATTTCCGAGGACGTTTCCTCTAAATAAAAAAGTGTTGTTGCTTAGTGCAAAATAACAACATTTGCACATGAGAATGAGCATTTGATAGTTGATGAAGCACATTTGTTTCTATCTGTTTTGTCAAACTATGAAGTTCTGACACAGCCGTTATTTTTCAGCCTGCATCAAAGAATCGCAGAGAGAGAACTGAACTAAAACCGGACTACTTTGATCCGTCTTCAATCATGGATGACTCTGTAAGTATTTACTTATTTGCTTCTTTTAAAAAGTGGCCATCGTTACTCACAATTGTAGGCCTGTTACCTAGAGGGATGCAGGGTGGCAGCAATGAATAGCATTAACAACAATAACAATGGATGCCTAAGGCAACCCTGCTAGATAAAAACCCCATCAACAACTCCAGAGCAATGTCAATAAACCACTTTATTAGTTCTGGTAACCTTTCAAGGCTTTACATTGTTAATTGAATTGTGTGTTTTTTTTAGGTTCTCAATGTTTCCATGTTCTAAAACAAATGGATGCATCAAGGAGAATGTGTTATCAAATCCTTGGAAGATAAGATGGATGGCTGTTCTCTGTGAAAATCAGAATGGGGCGAAATGGACTGCTATAAATGGTTTGTGAGACACCAACGTTTGCCTCTTTAACACTTTGTTAAACATTTAGAGCGAGAGCTTGAATTTGAATTTTATTCTGATATTTTCACACACAGGACTTTTGTCATGTTGCAGCTGCAATGTTTCTGCTTTTGTTCAGTTACCCTTAAAACAACTTGATGTTAGTTTAGCAGTACATACAATATGTGGCAGGTGCATGGTGAGGGGATAATAACAGATTGAAATTCAAATTAGTTATATATACCTTTAATCTTTTTGATTCAGTAGACAGGAATTGTCTTATGTAAATACATAGTGGCCAATATACAGGAGGGGTGAACACAATTTCATGAACACCAGTTGATAGAAATACAATAACCCTGCAAAATAATGCTTCAGTGTTCAGTCAAACACTATAAGGACACTGCACTTTGTCACAGAGGTATTCATTAATGTCTATGATCATTTAACAGCCATATTTTTAGAAATGATCATAGACTCCAATCAATTCCTCTCTGATGCAATCTTAACAGAAATTGAACGTCATAAGATTACTAGAATCAACCTCATTACAGGGCTATTGAATTGGACTGCATTATAATGTAACGGTGTCAGCGATATTGCGTTTACCTGCCGTACTTTTAAACTGTAGAATTTGGCATGGCATGTAGCCATATATCGAAACATGTATACAGTAAAGTATAATGTGAACTGGCGTCTCATATTGCTCAAAGGCCTTGCCAGAAATTATATACGACATTCTCCGATTTCTTTGTGATGGTATTTTTTAGAAATGTATGTGTTCTGCTTTTATACCATATGGATGACTTTCATTTATAGATATTTTGTAATGACAATCAAATGTAAATGAATGGTTTCTAATCATGTTATTTCACATAGATGTTGAAATAATCATTTTTAATGAAAATGATTATGTTACTAAAGATATGGCCAGTTGTTTGTATTTTCTTTGAATCTCTTTAATATGAATGGGGCAGAAGTAAAGCATTGCTCAAATGTAGTAATTTGACAAATTGATGACTGCATCTACAATTATTTTTGAATATTGGGAGCATTCAGAGTATCATACATACAATTTTGACTCAACCTTAAACATGAATCTATAAACCATAACCTCCTATATCCTAACTATTTTCTCCACGGTATAGTATCTAGTAATATCTTATAAAACAGATATGCCATAGATTAAATCTTTAATAGAAAATGATTTTTTTAAACGGGTGAGAAAGCTGTGTGTGTGGTTTCTTTTTTTCCAGTTTGAAAGTGCAGGATTTTTTCAAAAGCCAATTTATTTGATGAGCCACTGTTGTGTGTATAAGAATAATAGAATTATTCTAAATTACAAAGTTTTAGAATGCTTTAGTCATCTATCATAGTATCAGAATTGTATATTATACAATTATAGATGTGTAATATATTGTGAATCGGTGCTCATTTTATCATTGTTTCTTTTTGCTTGAAATTTTAGGGAAAGTTTAAATAGAATGTAACTATTTGAAGTTCACCTACTACCTTGCAAGTATACATACAGTACATTGTTTTGTTTGTCTTTCAATGGATTGTTGCGATATTTCTTTACCTCTGTGTATAGGTCTGGTGGGCAGAATAAGATTTAATGGGAAATGGTGTATTCATATTGTAGTTAGAAACAAGACCCTAATATTCCTCCGAATCTCATCATAAACTGGACAAAACGGATCACATGGTTTTTAACATTTCCATATACATACTGACTATTCATATGAGGCAGATGAGAAAAATACATCTTAGAATTGCTTGTATATTTACATGAATCTTTCATTTTGAATCTTTGTTTGCATTGAACTGCTGAAAATGTGCATACATCTGTATGTGTACACATTTAAATATGTGTGTATATTAAATTTGTGTTTTTATTCTTTTTGTGTCTTATTTTATCCTTTACCATTTGTATTTATGTCTGATGATGTAACATGAACCCTCTGCAACTGTGTGATATTTTAATTAATACCTCTAAGTTGTAGTTCATATGAATGAAAAGTTGCAAGATAAAAAATAAATACTCTTAGTTTGTTTATTTGTTAAAAATACTTAATTTAACAACATTTAGCCATGTTTAACACATTTTCTTTAACTATACTATTAATTAAGTTAACATTGATTGGCTTTTCAGTTTAAATAAGTTTAGTGAACATTTTTGAAACCATGGTTACACTATGATTTGTGAAATGAAGGTGGCTTTTACACCTCCCCCCCCCCAAAAAAAAACGAGTTAGTTATGTTATTTAAGTTTAGTCGAATGTCTTTTATCCCGTTAAAATAACCGTTTGAAAGAAATTGGACGATACGGAGCCCTCTATAGTCCTGGAACACAGAGTACCGTACTAACAAAGCCCTCAGACAACCCTCAGTGTCCCACCATGCAACACTGAGCTAGCAGCTAACCACCACATTTGACCCTGTGTGTGCCATGAGATGAATTAGACATCCGGGCTGTGTGTATGGAAGATGGCGACACTTATCCTCCCTGGTGAATGGATCAAAAACTGGGAAAAATCTGGAAAACACGAGTTGTGAGTATAGCTCAACTTCAACACAGTGCCAGGGGTTACCGTGGGTTAATAGCAGCTGACTGATATAAACCAACTAATAAAAAATGCGTAGCTAATATTGCAGTTGAGGCCAATCTTCTAAGTGTGGTCTGGGGCTAACAGAAGCGTTAACGTTAGCAAGCTACAAAAAAAACATTTCAAGTGGCTTGCTAACGTATATCCACGTCGTTATTTGGAAAATATTCGGATATTCTAAATATTTGCAACTAGACGGTAAATACCCTTTTCTTGAAATTTAACTAGCTAACGTTACCTGCATGCTAGCAATTTTGCTAGCTTACGCTCTTGATTTGTAAACACTGGCTACCAACGCTAAGCTAGTTAGCACCAATGTAGCACACTCCCCAACTGCTTCGATAGATTCAGGATTTGTAATTGCATTGCATTTGATGCCAACAGTCATGTAGTTACTTGGCGTAATTTCCCAACACACAACAGAGAACAGGTGGCGGATAAACACTTTATAGCCATATAGAGTTGTGCACAGTAATGTTGAAGTAATCAAGTGGAGGGAAACGACTAATCTTGACATAACGCTATAGCAGTTAGCGAGCGTTAGCTGCAACATTAGCAACGGTGTCTGATGTCTTGTTGGATGTTGTTTTGCATATGCATGGCAGCATGAAAACTAAATATGCCATTTCATGTTTTTATTCGAACTTATGTTCAGAAAGACTCAAACTTAACCTTGTTAGCTAACGTTTACTTTAATATAGATAATTGTGTACCCCATCAGTTAGCTTACGTATTGACCATGGTATGACGTTAGTTAACTCAAATCTCGATACAAAGTTATGCAATTTGTGCTAACTATCAGCCAGCATTAACTTTATGGACACAGCGGGAAAACCACCAACCCATCCTAAGGCAGCACCATGGATGCTCGCCCTAACAACACCTGGCAATCAAAACTTATGAGAAAATTGTCCTGTGATGATTGTATGATATGATTGTGTTATAAGGGAAAATGTCGCCCCTAAAGACTCTCTATTTTTCTTGAGCTAATCTTTAATGTAAAGGCGGAGACACTAAAGGTGCCTATCCACAGTGCAACCTACTATAAGTTGTAGGCCTTGAATCTTACAGTAGGGCCTGCAGTAGGATGCACCAACTCAAACTACTCAATTGTTAGTCGTGTATCTAACAATTGTGTATTTAGCAATTCATTTTTGATACTTTATTGAGATATGCAACAAATAATCAATTGTAAAACATACGAATTGAGATGTACAATATTCTCCCTCATGCACATTCTCATCTGCTGGGCAGAGCTGAGATGCACCTGTAAAGTAATCCAGTAGCCACAAAACATGCTTAATAAATGTTATGTTGAGGAAATACTTTTTACCTTCATATAAAACTATTAAATAATTTCACAATAAGTGTGTGTCTATTTGAGCACCTCTGTTTTAAATCCTCAAGTTGGAGGGTCATGGTTAAAGGTCCCATGTCAGCAAAGCTCCACGGACTCCCTATCACTTGAAGGATGTCACCCTATTCCTACCATCATTATTGCAGGAGGCCAGTGGAAGGCCATTTTCCATATGCTGATTAAAGAAGGGTCACATTGTTTATTTTTTTAACAACTATTTTCCAAGTTAAATTGTGTTTTTTTTTTTTTTTATCACAACCATTCTAACAATATAGTGATATTAATCATTAGTGATATTAATCATTAGTGCTATTTAATCATTGTGATTACCAGAGTCAAAGTCTGTTGTACCTTTTTACCTAAAGAGGTTAAAATGACTTCACATGCATATGAACTGCTCTGTTTGACCTCAGGTTCCTGACACACAGCTGTCAGTTTGGTGTTGTTGAGCATCTCAGACAGGGCGATACATGAATAGTAGATCTCTAGCAGCATTAGTTTTTTCTGCATTTTTTTTTTATCTGATCATTGGCCTTCTTTGCTAGTTTGAGGCTTTGAGTATTATCTTTTCAGGAATTCATTTAATATGCTAAGAAAAAGAAATGTTAAAAGTTTAATTATATACATTGTGTTAACTAAAGGAAGATTCAATGGCTATGGTTTTTCATGTCTGTGTTATCTAACTGACCAGAATTTTTCATTGTTCTTTCATAGTGTACAACTCTGCAAAGGCCTTACAGAGAAAACAGACCATGGAAGTGAGGTTAGAGGTAAGTTGACATTTGAAAATGACCTCAATTCTGTAACACACTTGTTTTTAGTTTGTCTTTCAATGTATCTTAACGTCCCTGTTTTAAAGACACTTATGGAAATGGTGGTACTTTGATTTGGAAAACAAATAATTTAAACAAATGCGTTTAAGTTAAACATAAAATATATAAAAGAAAAGTTGAAATATAACCTTTGTAATAAATGTAAGGTTGGATTGTATATGTTGGAAAAGGCTGTGGTGAAAGTAGATATGTATGGGTCTAATGATGCACAAATATCTGCAATCTGTAAATGAGCACAACTTTGTTCATTATAATCACAGGCCGTTTTTTTGCATCCGAGGGAACCCTTACATCATTTATCACCCTAATTAGGTACAAGTAAATCTCCTATAAAGAATATTCTCTTCCATTAAATAATTATTTATAGCAGTGATAAATGCCTCCAAAAGCTTGGTAGTTTGGCAGTTTTTCCTAAGAACTTTAGTTTCCCTATACATTGCTAATACACAACACATTATTGTTTTATTTTCCAGTTTCTAAAAATACTGTGCTGTTGCAGATACCTTTTAAAAAAAAATATCATTAATATATTGTTATGTCATAGTATAATATTATATTATGCAATTACAGTCAAGCTGTGACTTGCATATTTGTTGTTGTTGAATGACACCACACCACATCTTTGTTCTTGGACAACTATACACTTAAGCGTTAATGCAAACTGGGATGTTTTGGATCATAATGCAGGCATGAAAATGAAGTTGTTTTACAAAGCATTTGTTATGAAAACCTATCTATGACAATGCAAATCTGCTCTCTACTGCCTTTCTGTTAATGGACGATGCTTCAGTGACATTCAAATGTTTTGGCTTGACTTGCAAAGATGAACAAATTCAGCGTCTATTTTTACCTAGCTACAACAGACCTATCCACTTATATTTGATATCAAAGAGTGTTTTCCTGTCAGATCTGTCAGCTCAGTTTAAGATGAACTGTGTGGTCTGTTTCCCCCGCAGACATACAGGCTGCCTTATACGAGCTCTGCTGGCAGGTTGTACAGGGGAACCTGAAGTTGGATCTTGCAACCAGCGTCCTTGGGGAGATGATGGTACAAATGCTTTTTTTGTTTCAGTGTTAAAACAATGTCAAACACACAGAATGATCTACGCTGTTATTTGAAGACACACAGCTTTTCTTCCTTCTTCATATCTTGCTTTTATTCCATCTTAATTATTCCCTGCATGTGTATTATTATTTTTTTCAGGAACTCCGAGATGACATGCCATCAATTTTAGCAGATGTTTTCAGCATACTAGGTAAATCCAGGTTTTTATTTTAAAAATGGAATTATTCTGAAGTACTGCATTACACTTAAGTCTAAAGTAGTATGTATAATAAAAAGCTATTAATGTTGCAAACTTGTCAGACTCGTTTTTAATGTTTTTCTTAATTATATTCTTCACAGATTTAGAGACTAGTGCACTGGAAGAAAAAATCAAACGTGAACATTACACGTCACTTGTGGGAGCATGTTTGGTAAGAATAACATCCAATGTTTTAATATATTTGACACTTCATGCAGACTAGAATACTAGACTACCTGAAAAAAATGGTATGATCAAAATACGAGGGCTTGTATGATTATGCATTTCTCTTCATTGGCACTGTTGCAACACAGTTACACACTGAATGGGTTATAGTTTGACCCAGGTGCGTAATGAGACTGCCTGATTAAATAACAACTAAAACAAATAAATAAGCAACTTGATATCTTTTTATTTCAGTTTTTTGTTCCGGAGGTCATCCTGAAAGAGCGGCTGGATCCAGAAACCCTTGAATCTCTGGGACTTATAAAACAAGCTCATCAGTTCAACCAGAAGATTGTTAAAATCAAGACTAAACTATTGTGAGTCGAGTGCACAATTAAGTACAGATGCAGACATACGTAAATATAAAATGTGCTTTTCAACTTTTTGGTTAAACCTGTGTTTCTTCTCATCAGTTACAAGCAACAGAAGTTTAACTTGCTACGGGAGGAGAACGAGGGCTACGCTAAACTAATCACCGAGCTCGGCCAAGACCTGTCGGGCAGCATCACCAGCCACCTCGTCCTGGAGAGCATCAAGTCCCTCATAGGTATCTGACCTGTCTCTTTCAGGATGAC